AGTAGGTAAGCTCATATTACTATTTTTGTTTTTACTTTTCTTTAGTTGAAATTGCAGCATCTATTGAGAACATGTGATATGTTTAGTAAATATTTCAATAAAAAAGTATAATATATTTAATAATTAGAGATATATTAGTTAGATCAGTGAAGTTTTTTTAATATATATAAAATTTATTAGCATTAGTAATACAATTGGACCATAAGGTATATACATATTAGTTAGATTGATAGAAATAGGCATCATACACCTTATTGTTGCATGATGCTTAATCATCACATATTATAACTTATATAAAACACTGACATCTAATGTAATTTTCATAATATTAATTATATAACAATTAAGCACTATGCAGTGATAAGCCTTTTTCTAAGTTTAGTTTATATATGTGGAGTTTATTATTACATGTAATAATATTCTTACATGAAATAAATAATATTACATATAATTATATTACTACATGTAATAATATTATTACATATAATAAATATTATTACAATTATAGTTTTAAAAAACTCTGTGTAAAAATATAAATAATAAATATAATTGTAATAATTGGCTAATTATGGCACCATACTTTACTGTAACTTATACAGCCTATATGTAAATTACAATTTATATACTAAAGCTAGTTGAATCATGTGATAATTTTACTGGCATTAGGTGAAATTTATATAACTGATAACAAGTAATTTATATCATTTATATATAATTTCTGTTTTCTTTATTACAAGTATTAAAATCTCATATATACATAACTTACATAACAGTTGATCGAGATGTCACACCTAATTTTTTATTATATTATTTTCATAAATTACACAAATTAATGAAATCACATTTTTAAAATTTTTTCTCAAGTCGTTAATTACAAATAGGTTAACAGAGCTTTGACAAATCAAACAATATAAAGAATATAAAAAGCTAACATTACTAGGTAATGTGAGACCTCTTTGAAGATGGGCAATTATTTTGCCTTTTTTCACAAGATTCTTTTGAAGTTTTCGAGATCCTGCATGAAAAATAGCTTGTTAGATATGCATGAATCTTTGAAGAAAAAGTACCTTATAAAAATATAGAGCAAATTAAAAAAAACTATTTTGTAGTATATTAATTGCAATTTTGCTAATAAAGTTTTTCTTTTTTAACACCCTTATGTGCCAATCTCAATTTTGTGAAACATGTTTTTACTAAATATACACAAGCTGCTTAGATTAGCTAATACTATCAACTATTTATAGCGAAAAAATCTCTAAAAAAAAGAAATTTGCTGTCTCACAAATTTGAAAGCATTGTATATAGTCTATTGCACTTGCTCTTGCACTTGCACTTGCTCTTGCACTTGCACTTGCTCTTGTAGAGAGCAGTGCAGTGCAATCGGAAGAATCACAATTGTACTTATAAAAGAGTATATAAAATTTTCAATAATTTATTGGAAAATTAAGTGTTTTTTGTAAATATATTACAACAAACTTCATCATTTTTAATTTTAACTTTTTTTTCTTTCAGATTTTTTACCGAATTAAAGAGGTTCTATGTATATACAATATTTATACTTCACTAAGCCAATCATTTAGTGTTTAATTTTTTTAAAACTCACTTATTTACCAATCTCATGTTTGTGAAATATAGTTTTGCTAAATTTGATTTTACCACTCAGATTGGATAGATTGGATATAACTGGTTATGTATTTATATGGCTAAGCCTATGAAAATAGAATCTGTGTCTGGTTATCATTATATAACTAAAATTATATAAATTTCATTGAATGAAATCAATGATTCTCAATAATATAATAATACTATAACTTAGAAATATCTTTGAGTGATGATATCTTAGTAACTACCTATTTAAAATTGATGAAATTTTATTTATTTAAACTATATAAATTCATAGAATTATAATAAAAAAATTTAATTGATTTTAGACAAATATTTATTGAGTTATCCTTGTTCAAAGTCTAAAAAACTTAACCATAGTCTTTGTTTTGATAGTTATTTAAATTTTCTTGGAACGAGAATAGCCCAATACTTTACAGAAACCTATGTTTTTTGCTAAATATATTTATTATATATTAACAATATTATTATTATATGATATAATAAATATACTTTGTATATATATTATCGCAGTTTTCAAAATAGTTGACACTAAAATATTTTGTATACTCACTATATACTAATATAGAATTATCTAACCTTAAAAAATTTTTTTGTTACTTTAAATACAACTAATATATTTAAAATATACAAAAAATTTTTTTAGGGTAGATGATTTTATATCAGTATACAGTAAGTATACAAAATATTTTAGTATCAACCATTTCAAAAACTATGATAATCATATAATAATTATATTTTTGTTCTTTTTGCTAACTCTTTTGTAACTTTATTTCTAATAATACGTTTGTTATATAGATACAATATAATTTTATATATATAATAATCTGTTATTAATCTAATAATAATAGTAATAATAACAAAATAAAATAAAAAATTCCAATATTTTAATAATATAATAGTTCTATAATAAATATATTAAATTATTTATAATATGTTTATAATATGTTTATAATATTAATAAATTTCTTACAAGATAGTTAACAGAGCTTACTAAGACTTTTATTATATATGCTGTTTATATTTTTAAAAAATCAAGGTTTCTGTAAAGAATGTTTTGCCAGTCTATGTGGAGTTAATATTTCGCCATGGCGATAAATTATAAACCCTGTTATAAAAATTACAAAAGAAATTTTATTGCATAATAGGTGCTTTAATTATTTAAAGGGAGTATTTTATATTAAATTATAAATTTATATATCAGTTCTAGTGAGGAATCGCTGGTGATTACTTTGTGATCTTACAAATTTATTTTGTACTAGTGTTTTAATTCATTATTTTTGTTATTTCTATGTGTACTACTATAGCATTGTCCAGAAAAAATGAACTGGTTTATTTTTGCTAGTATACATGTAATTCAGATACTGATTTTTGAATAAATTATGAATGCTAATTCTATGAAAATAATATTTTGTTTCTTTTATTTTTTTATTTTTTAGTTTTATTTTTTAAATTTTTTAATTTTTAATTTTTTAATTTTTATTTTTTTATTTCTTTTTTTTGAAACAATTCGGCAATCTTGCCTCTACTTTATTAGGTTTGAAAATATTATATTACAAATTAGTTTTTACAATGTCTAAATTACAAGTATTAGCTCACCCAGCTCTTTGTGACTAAAGTTCAAATTACCTATATGCAATCTGCTATAGGCAAAATTCTCTTTTGTAATATTAACTTCTGCACTTGAAGAAAAATAAAACTTTACTGGAAGGTTTCTACTGACTGATCAAGACTGCCTCTTAATGTTGTTAGCCGAAATTGTTTTATACTTGTAGAAATATTTTGACATTTGATATTTAGTCTGCTGAAATGTCTAAATATTGCCAAAATTCTAAATGTCTAAATTAAGAAATATATATGAAAAAACATTAGGAATTAGTGTTATTAATCAGTTCTGACTAAAATCGCTAGTCCTGTGGTCCTTCTTAGAACTGGGCCAATCTTGTTCTTTATGTGCTGGACAGACCAAAAAGACTATCAGTCTGAATATAGTAGTTTTAAATTATTGTAATGAACATGTGTAGCCTAATTTTTTGTGTATGCGAGATTAATTTTTAATACTGTTGTATCTAAATATTATAAAGCTGTTACAGTGATTGTTAAATACTGTAATGCTACAAATAGCATAGAATAACATAGGATAAAATTCTGCTAGTGTTTATTGTTTAAAATAATTTTTAGAATTAAGATATTTACTGGTTTTGTAAATAGGAAATCATTGATCTACAAAGTTCATTGCAAAAGATCTTAATTTTTTTTACTGTTTAGTCAAGGTTATTTCTTATAGCTGTGAGTTTGTTTTTGGATTATGCTAAAATAAAAAGACTTGTTTTTAGATATTTTAAAATTTCTAAATTGTTTTATATTTTTACTAATACGAAGACATAAATTCTCAAGCTGCAGATCTACAACGTAGCTATTATATTCATGATTAAATTGGTAACAGTAAAGTGAGTTATGTTATATTCTGTCATGGTTGATAAATAATTATGATTGGTTATTAATTTATGAAATCGGTATTAAAATAATGAACATAAAGCGTTCAAATATTATAAAAAATCTAATAGTAATTTAATTTTAAACTATACCACTAACCCTACCCTAACTTAAGCTGAATGTTTGATCATATTAAGCTGCAGTATAATAAGCATAAGAGGTTGTTAATTACTTTTTAAACTAAATAAACATGTATTACCAAATACACTGTTTAATTTGATATTCATAATTTCAAATTTGATCTTTATCTCTTAAAAAATATGTTAATTTTGAAAGACCCTAACAAAGATTCACAAACACTGCACTTTCTTAAACTATACTAATTACCACAGTAATAAATTAGTGATGCCAAGAGAAATGTGACTTCAATCATCCAGAATTTATATGATTGAAGTTTCATTTTTATATTTAGTCAACCATTTAGATATTTAGTCATATAATATTTATTTATTTAACTATTTAGGCATTTAGTCAAATTTAGACTTTTGACATGTTAAAAAAAAATAATGACATGTTGAAATATATTTAGACACTAATTACCTAAATAGTTGACTAAATTAAGTATTTCGACTAACAACATTAGTACAATATTACTAATTTTTAGAGTTATCTTTATTTATTTCAATTAAAAAAATCAATTAACCAACACTAATTTTATACATTAAACTCATGAGCCAAATAACAAATAAATACATCTTGAGAAGATAAAGTTGAATGAAAATTAAACAGTTCATTTTAAATATCCAACTACTAAGTGGCATATATAAGAACCAAACACAAAAAAGAAAATTAAAAAATAAATCAATTACTATATATCAATATATAATTAATACAAATATATAGGATAAAATTAAATAAGCTTATCTTAAATCCTTAATTCTTCAATCATCATCTGTTGCTATTAATATAAAATACCTTAATTAATACAGAAATGCTATATTATAATATAAATAAGAATTGTCTGTAAAGAAAAAAAAAAAGAAAAAAAAAGATATTGGTTAATTTCATGTAAACTAGCCATCTTATAAAATTTCTCATACTTAACTATACTGTATGTATAAATGCTTAAATAAGTGACAACTATTATCAGTTCTGAAATACTATAACAGTTTTAGAAAGTATAACAACCTATTCTACTGCAATAACTACAAGCTATATACAATATATTTTTTTAATATAGCATCAGTTTTCCTATCTGATATTGGGACATTTAGGAGCATAATATTCTGTTTTATAGCATAAGCAGCATTTATGTGCACCAACTTTATCAGTTCTTTTCTCTTCAATGTCAATATCAGCTCAATACTTTTTTTAAAACTTGCTACTTTCTTTATTAAAAGCTTTCAAATATTTAGTAGCTTTTTTACTCTTGCCCCAATGTACTACTAGATCTTTAATATTATTAGCATTAAATATGTAACTATTACTAATTTCATACTCAATATCTGGTCTTGAATAACTATTATTTGACTTTCAGCATCTTGTTTTTTCTTTTTTTCAAAAATATAAGACAAAATAAGTTCATTCAAAGTCTTTTGATCATTATCCTCATTTGAAAAGTTTAGCACCTTCTTAAAATTATCTATAAGCCTATCATATTCTGCTTTTTTTTGTACATGATATCGAATTTTAGCTTCTTGAATATTATTATAATATTTAGAAAAAATCTTTTGTATACTTGTATTATTCTGAACATTTTTGGATAATACTCCAATAAAGGGCTTTTAGAAAACAAAACCTAGGCATTTTCATGAATTATCTTGAAAACATCTTGTTAGCATTAGCATCACATAAAATAGTGCATTTGGATTTTTCACTATCAATTTAAAATAATGTCAGCAAATAATTCCACACAACACCAAAAGCAAACATGTATACAAATATGTACTATTATTGAGTAAAATAATATGTTGATATGAATTCTCTGACATATATAGAATAATTCTTCAAACTTTCTTAATTGTATTCACTGAAATGGAATTGATTAATACCTTTAGATATGTCTAATGAAAATCATAGTAATCTTCAACTGCTTCAACATTTTGATTCATATTCTAAAAGAAATATATGTAATTAAGCAAGATTTGTTAACTGATTGCATTAATTAAAATATATTAAGAAAACACTATTATAATGGTATATGAATTTAAGGCCAATGAATATAATTCCAAAATAAAAAATACAGTATATGTAACAATATATTCTATAATCTTACTATTTGATTTTTATTAAATTCACTAATATCCTCGTTATACTCTATTAGATTCTAAAAAAAAAAAAAAATTCAATAAATATTAAAATCATCTGAACTCCAGGCATAAGATAACTATTACCTATACATACTAGATAATCTTTATTAAATTCAATAGTTATATTGAATTCTATTTTTTTACAATGCTAGAGTACCGATTCACACATCTGGTTATAAAGTTTTTTAGCAATTCGTGATAATAAATAGTTGTAAATTTGGGTTTAATATTATTAAACAAATGTTCTATAATAAAGGGCTAGTAATATGTTAACATTTTATGCTTCTATGATATAAAACACATCTTTAAGTCTTTCTTTTGTATCTGGGAATCAATAGCTTCAACAACATTAGTCATACTTAAATTAGATAAAACTTCTTTATGAACAAATACATTAATTGATTCAACACATTGCATTGATTGCATTCTAGCAGTAAATATTCTGTTAATAAATAAACAAGCCCATAATTCTTGAATTGAGTAAATAGGACTTTGCAGATAACCAGACACATTAGAGTATTTTTTCAATATCAATTAAAATTGTTACTCAAACACATTAATACTTAATGAATTTCGAGCCTTCCAAAACTCACAGATAAACTTCTTATATTTTATGTTACCAAGTTTTGACTTAAGATTTTTTGGCAAATTTTAAGACAAATGCCAAATACAGTGTGTAATATGTATTTAGATATACAATTTTAAGTGCTAAATCTATTGCAGGATCCATATCTGTAATAATTACTTGCAGTTTAGCACCAGTAGCATCTAGCATTTGTTGTAAAACCCACTTGTAACTTTCTTGAGTTTCATCATTTAAGAATGTTTATGCATCCAAACACAAATTACCTTCATTATCAACAAGAATAAATAATAATAGGAGATAGTTGTATTTGTTTGTTCTTGAAGTATTATCATGTAGAACTATATCAGAATAGTGGATTACAATAAAATTTGGTTTGTGTTATCCAAAATATGCCACATAACCAATTGCTATTTACATTAATTAGTGGCTAAACAAATATTGCAGGTCTCTCTTTTTGCTAATTCAAAAGAAATTTCAATAACTGAGAAGCATCTGATCTATAAATTTTTTTTTTATACTTAATCTTTTAAATTGTATTAGAAAAATTCTAAGTAGAAATAATTGATCTAAAAATAATGGTTGAAGCAAGTTCTTTATAGTATGTGCATCGCAGTAACCATATACTACTGTGTGCTCTATTTCAGCCATTATATTTTTTTCAAACCGTCTAAATGCTGGTGCAAATCTCTTATTATCAACATTAATTATATGATTATGATCTAGATAAATTAAGGTTATGTGCATATAATTGGTAAGTTTAAAATTACTCAAATTAATGTATCATTTACAATCAGTTTTTTTGGAGCCCTTATTGTGTTGTTGACTAATAGGTTTAGTTTTATTGGGCTTATATTTACCTGTCTTTTCACAAGTTAGTGTTTATTTTTTAACTGCATAATTTCTATAAAATTCAACTCTATAGCACTTTATTACAAATCTATTTTACCTTCCATATTCCTTCAAATAATATTCAGCAATATCCCATAATTTAAACTGGGTTCCAACACATAGTTTTATAGATGAAGTTATCAAAAGATAGTTTGTAGAATTTAGCTCTTCTAGTTCTGACTCAAGAATAGGCTCTGTAGAAATATTTTCAATGCTTTCAATTTCATTTGTACCAGTGAATTCTATATTTGCATAATAAAGTTAGAAAATTTTCATAATTATAAGTATAATTAAAGATCATTAATTTATCTAAATTATTCTCTTCGATCTTACATTGCTCTTCAGATTCTTCAGATTCACCTACATACAGCTCTTTGGATTATTCATATTCATCTACTATACATTGTTCTTCAGATTCTTCAGGTTTATCTACTATTATAAAATCACTTTAAAAAAAAATTAAAAAAAATAATAATAATAGAGTCTATTAGTTTAAAATAACTAACTATGCTTTGAAGTATCAAAAGATATTAAGACAATTTATATACTTTGAGAAAAACTTAACCCAGTCTCCATTTTAAAATTTTCAAGTGCAAAGAGTTGTTAAAGTCATAGGGACAAGCAGAAGTTGCTGATACATGAAGATAATATTTGATGATTTTTATTCGACTATAAACAAGAACTATTATGCAAAAGTAATATTTAATGATAACTATTATGTAAGAATAACCAGAACTATTTTTTTTTTTTTTTTTTATTCTTTGACAGTCTTGTCGGTAGAGTGTCTGGCATACCAAAAAAAATTTGGCATGCCACAGGGCATGCCTTTTGTTAAAATTTGTACCATGGCATGCCAAAAGGCATGCCACAAAATGTTATATATTATTTATAATACCATATATGTGGTTTGAATATTGTAAGTATAATTTTTATGCTATACCTAGTGGCATACCAAATTTGCTTTTGGCATGCCAGGGCATGCCACCATAGGCATGCCAGGGCATGCTACCATAGGCATACCATTATTGGCATGCCTTTGCCACTATGCCAGACACCCTACTTGTCGGTGCTCAAATACAAATTATATTACTATTAGACTACAAAACAAAGTTTCAAAAATTCTAATAATATCTAAT